CCCCCACTGAAACCACCATCCCACTTAGAATAGAACCCAAGCTCCTTACCTTAGCTTGTAAGCACTCTGGCCATTGGGTGAAGCCTAGGAACCCCTTCTCAGAAGGGTGCTCTCACATAGATAAAAGAAAATACATAGGGTTACAAAGGAAACCAGTTCTTTTCAGATACAGCTATTAAATGCTTTTGAAATTTGCGATATTGAAATATAAGTGCTTGTTTGTCTATACTTTGACTAATTAGGCCCAGCAGCTGTATATAGCTATTATATATATAATATATATTACAGCTATTACAATTTTGAATTTGTTTATAAGTGTAAGTGATATTTCCAGATGACTGCAACAATGGTGATATGGATGGATCTGTGGTTTCTGTTGACAGGTACCCAGCCCTGATAACATTACTGTGGGTTGTCAACATTCGTGACTGAAAGAAGTGCCTGTTTTCAGTTAGAGGTTGGTGAAAAGAGAGAGGGCATTTTTCTTCGTCCATGTCCATGGGCCCCCTAAATCCTACCCATGAGCCTCTTGTCCACGCCCCTCCTGCCCCGCCCCTGTAGGCCGTTCCCTCCTCCCTCATTCACAAGCTGCACTGGTCGACTTTCTGATCTTTGAATTCCCCGAGCTTGTTTCCATCCTTGAGCCTTTGCACCTGCTATTCCCTCCCCCTGGAAGGCTCTTCCCCACAATTTTTCCAGGGCGCCTCAACTTAGATATCACCTCCTTAGAGAGGCCTCCCACCCAGCCTCTAGAAAAGAACCAGAGTCTGCCTCTAATTTTCTTTCTGACAGTGCTGTTGATTAATGTTCCTTGCCTGCAACTCCCATCTGAAGTCATCTTTTGCTTGGCGTATTTCTGTCCCCCCCGCTGGACTGGATGTCCATGACAGTAGTGACTGTGTCCTGTCTAGGTCACCACTAGAATAGGCCTGGCACAAAATAGAGGCTCATTAAAGTTTGAGTGAATGAAGGAATGAATGAGAGGAAACATTGAAATTAGGGCTCTTTTAAAAAAAGTTGTGCCACGTGCTTGCCGTGCCCAAATTTAATCTTAGTCCATGGTTTCAATTTAAAATAATAAAAGTTTAGACTCAGGAGGCATCTTAGAAAGCATCTATTTTACCACCCCCTCTGCCTAATCTTCACAGTACCAATGGGGAGTCAGCCACAGGCTCACATTCACTAAGTCGAGGAGGCATGCTGGTAGCTTCTAGCCCAGGCCACTTACCCCTGAGGCTACAGTTTGAGTAATTCTCATGGTGATGTTAGGT